CCAGCAACAGCACATGGCAGGCTGCTGCTGAGGGCATAGGTGCTTTATTGGAAAGAGAATGTGGGCAAGAGATGAGGAAGGCTCCCCATTCCAAGAGGATGGGAACAGTTCTGGCTACCCCTGACAATGAGATATGCAGGGTCTCTGGCCAGACTGGTCAGAATGGGAAGACACTCAGTCACAAAGTCATGGGCGTGCCATACAAGCCTGGCTGTAGGCATGAGAACCATACAGGCAAGCACATGGGGCAGGTTCCCTGCACATTCATCATGAACTGTACAGAATGAGGCTGTACATGAGTTAAATACAAAAGAATCATATTTACAAAAATATGTACACACATTTGAAAAACTCACAAAATTGTCATCTATGTATCACAAGTTTGCTAGACCAAAATATTAAAAATGAGATAAAAGTATACATTTCTCTTCTCATTTCTTTTCAAAAGGATTAATATTTTAAAGCACATTTATGCTACTTTCCATTAGCAAAACCTATGAAGAGATCAAGCAGCCCAGCGTTCCTTGAACCCCCAGAGCCCATGAGCCATGAAAGGTCTAGCCAGGGGGCAGTGGCTAGGGCTAGGGTAGGGAGCTGACCCACAGTGCAGAACAAAATGCTGAAATACAACAAAGAAAGATGTCTTTGGCTAAAACTTTGGCATTAAATAAAGCTACAAACAGAATGGAAACATAAAGCCCTACCAGCAAGGCAACCTTGAAAGCTGGCTCCAGAGCAGTGGAAACCAGGCCTGGGCACATACCTGGATGGTAGAAAGCTGTGCTTCACCAGGTGGGTGTGTCTTGGGCCTGGCAGGGAGCACGCACAAAGGGGACAGGGAGGGGCAGGTGGGCCACTTTCACCATAGCCAGCTCAAGTAACTAAAGTAGATGTAGTGCAAATGTTGCAACCGAGTACTATGAACACACTACCTGTTTGCCTCAACGGTCACGTGGCAATGTGCAGCCAAAGGCAGGACTCTGTCCTTATCCTGGATTCCTGTATTAGCCACAGAAAGGGCCCCAAGTTTTCCCAATGTGTGTAGGACAAGGGTTGACATGTCCTGCCTTCTTCTGTGTTAGTCCAGATCTCCTGGGTCTAGGTATCAAGGCTCAAAGTTTGTGCTTCTCTTTGCAGTCTGTGTTCCCTGCTGGCAGCAGCAGGCTTAGGACCGACAGAGGAATACCTGGGCCCCTTGTCCCACAGCAGAGCGCCCAGCCTGAGCCTACCTCTGAACATTCCAAAAGCCCTTCAATACTGACAAGATGTCCAAGCAAACCCACAGGGTGGCACACAGACCCACTGAGCAGGATGTCACCCACAGTTCCATGGGCAGAGGAGCACAGGTGGTGATGTCCCTAGGGGAGCTCTGCTGTTCTCAGCTGGGCACCATGCCTGGGGTGGGGCATACAGGGTTACAGAGGCAATGTGGTTGTTCTGCATGATCTCAAAGATCATCTGCTGAAGACCAAAACAGAATGTGGAGCCAAATGGGTTAGTGTTGTTTGGGGATGAGGACCTGTGCAGAATAACAGGCTTCTCCACAGGATGGCCCAAGAGCTCATGGATATTGTCCCACTTGCTATAAGTTGTACATGTTTCTGTCTGACCATCTTCATTTTCTTTCTTTATGGTTAGTGGGATCTTGAACTCACAGCGGTGATAAATGTTAAAATTATAATGCCCAGGATAATTGGTATGTAGAACAAACTTCTTCACTTTGTGTGTATTTGCATCAAAAAGGATATCCACTCCAAGAGTGAAGTAATTAAAAAAGTAGTCATTGTACTTGGAAGGAACTTGTTTATGAGGGGAAGGAGAATGAATTTTCATCTTGTCTTCTGACTTATAGAAGACCTTATGTGGAGAGCCAGGTATGCTAAGAACATCTTGGCAGGAATCTCCAAAATATACAGAACGTTCAAATACCCGCATCTTGGCATCTGCTAATAGGCCAGGTCCGCAACCTGCAGCAAGTAGGCGAAGTCATAAACCTGAGGGTCCAGTTCCATCACGAAGAACATCTACACTCTCAGCATACACTTTGCCCATGAAACAGCTCAGTGGCATCATGGGAGCCTTGGTATCTTGTAGGCTGTTTCCGCTATAGATGTACATTCGTTTTACAGTTGCTCCATGGGGTATCTGGAGAGAAGCTAGACCATGCGCAAAATTGGGCTCATACTTGGGAGCTTCAGTCCATGAGTCTAACTGAAAGGAGAAAGACAGTCCTCTGAAGTTGAGGTGAAATAGCTGCTCGGCAGAGTTGTACACTCCAGGATGAATTGTGCCAGAAGACTGGTCAATCTGTTCAGTGGTAGGAGCTATGGCCTGAGAGTTGAAGTGCACTCCACAATATTTTAACTTTACTTTAGTCAAGTCATATACTTCAGTCACCTTAAGTCTCTGATTGAAAGCATCAAACAGCAGTTTGATCCCATCCTGAGTCAGGTTAAGGATGAGGGCATGGCTTAGAGGAGACCAGCGTGAAATGCCCATTGCTCGTTCCCCAGAGAGCGTTCAGGCACCACCTCCAGGTCCAGCATTGCTTTGGCTGGCCGGGCCCGGGTGGCCTCCCTGTCGTAGGGCAAATGGGACCAGACCTGAGGAGACAACACAGTGGCTACTAGCCGCACTCGCCAAATGGTGATAGCTGTGCTGTTCACCCCATCACAGTCCCCGGGCGGCGGTGGCAGTACCTGCCACACTACACACCTCACTTGACCTCCCCTGGGCTTCTTATGTAAGAGGAACCATGTGATACTGTGGTACTTAAGCTTGTGTCAGATTTACCTCATTTAACTTGGTCTCATGCATATGTGTTTTCCTAACACGTGACTCGAGTTTATTCTTTATGGCAGTCTTTCTTTATTCATTATGATTTATTGGCCATAAAGGCTGCTTCCAGGATTTAGCTAGAGTGAATTATGTAGCTGTGAATATGGGTATGCAGGTATCAGCTAACACTCTTTCAGGAAGATGCATAGAAAGAATAGCTGGGTCATTGGGATTTCTGCGTTCAGCTTTTTGAGGTACAAACAGTACCTGCAGTGTGGACTCTTCAATGTATTGTACCTTCATTTTCCCCTGCAGTCTGTCCAGCATTCCTTATTTGACTTCTTCACGGTAACCATTCTTGCTGGAGTTTTGAAATCTGAATGTTGTTTTAATTTGTATTTCTCAAGTGGCCAGTCATGTTGAGATTTTTTTGTTGAGTACCAAGAATGGAGCTCAGGATTTTGTGCTTGGCAGGCAGGCATTGTGCCACTAGGCTATATCCCAGCCCTGATTTGAATATCTTTTATGTATTTATTGGCTATTTGTGCTACTTTATTGCAAAATGTCCATTCATTTCAGATGCCTCCTCCCAGTTTTTGTGTTTTGGAGACAGGGTCTTACTATATAGTTCAGGGTAGTCAGGAACTCACTGTGTAGTGCCGGCTGACCTCAGACTTTCAGTGATCCTCCTTTCTTGGCCTCCCAAGTGCCGGGATAATAGGCATGTACCACCATGCCCAGCCAGATGTCCAATTTTTTTTTTTAATTGAATTTTTAAGTTGGAGGTCTTTTTTGAGTTCTTTAAATATTATAGATATTGGTCCTTTGACTGATGAGTAGCTACCAGAAATTTTTTCCCACTTTGGAGGTTGTCTCTTTGTTTTGAAAATTGTCCTTAGGAGCTGATTAACTGGTATTTTGTGCTAAAGAGCATAATCTTAAAATAACAACCTAGGGGAAAATTCAGCAGTAGAGCAAAGAGGGTAACTAGAGCCATCACATTTCCTTAGCCTGCTTGGGAAATTGGAAAAATAATTTGTATTTGGAATAGGAATGAAGGAATAGTGTCACCAGACTGCTGTGTGTTCAGATCAGCTAAGTAACTGAAGTAATTTATCATTGTATAGAAAAATGGAAATCCTGATCCTGTGACTGAAGACTTTTTGTACTTTTAGTATCTAGGACTTAGAAGTGAGTCTCAGGTGTATCTTGGCCTAAGAATGTCACAAGTGGCCAGAAAGATTTGAAGGAGAGCATCACTACAGTGAATGACCTAGTCTGGGTGGTTTGGTTCATTTTCTCTCAGATAAAATAGAACTTGGAGACAGTGATCTGAAGATAATGTTAAAGAAGCACCATGAGAAGCGGAAACACCAGCCGGTAAGATCACGATGGGTGTGGCCGCTCATGGTTTGCATGTCATGTCTGTGGCTTGGCTATCCTGGGCGAGCTACTTGTTGTCCTCACTTCTCTTCTGATTCTTGTTACTATTTTTAGGGTTGGGAGTAACACAGGCTAGTTAGCATTGAGGATGAAAGGCGACACTCGTTTCGGGTAATAAGGCCGGCTCAGCAGTGTCTGGTTTAGTCTTTACTATGGCACTGCTTGGTGTATGAATGCCTAGTGTTCTCTTTTTGCCTTTGGTTCTGTAACGAGTAGATGCCAGGACCAAGAGTTGACCCTTTGCTCTTCCCTCTTCATACTTGTTTTGTTATTTCATACAACTGAATGGGGGTGGTACCAAGCCAGAGAGTAGAGTAGAGAACAGACAGCCCATCCAAGGTAGAAGAGCAGGAGGGCAGAGTCCCACACTGGGACTGCGCTGGGCTTTCTCCATCTTTTCTATTCTACAGCATTGCAATTTCTTTAACTTCTTTGATTCCTAGACTTTGTAAAAATATAGCAGAAAGGCCTGAAGAGCACGTGAGATAAGGAATGAGGAAGAGCCGTATGGAGTGTAAATGCCATACATTGGGGCTTGACCTGGGCTCTCCCGTGTCCCACTGTGATGAGCGGTAGAGCTTGTTGCTGCACTGCTGTAGTTCAGCGTGCTTCCTCCGAGGTACCTGACAGGCATCATATCCAGGAGGTAGACTGGTAGTCTTCATTAGTCCTTGCTCCTTTTGGTCTCCATGACTGAACCTCTGCCTGTCATATCTAGGATCACCCGGACCTTTTGACAGGGGACCTGACCCTCAGTGACATCATGACCCGAGTGAATGCTGGCAAGAAGGGCTCTCTTGCAGGTAAAAGAAGTGACAGACTGCTGGTCACTTCTAAGTAGCCTTCACTCTGCTGTTAACTGTTACGAGGCTGCCTCCCTGTGGCTGAAGTAAGTGAGACCATAGTCTCCTTCATGCTGGTCACCTTTGTTTTGTTAGTGCCTTTATGAACTTAAAGTGAGTGCAGCTTATCATTAAATGTTAAATTGAACCGTAAATCACTCGAGTTAGGTTTAAAAATCTGTGTGTCTGGTCATGTAATGGCACGAGATAATTTTTACAAAACAGACGTGGAAAAACAGAGTTTTAATCCAGTTAGGCTAACTGGCTGGGCATTCCTAACTTCAAGTTCAGGAAATCTCTATGCCGTTCTTTCGTTCATTCTTTGTCTCAGCTCAAAGCCCTTTTTGGTTTCCAGGGCAACCACAGTGAACTGTTACCATGGGGGGGGGGTCAAGGGGATTTATGATGACATAGGAAGTAACCCACTTCTCTTGCAATTGGCTTTGTTTACCCACTTTTTTAAACATTTTTTTTTTAAATTTTATTTATGTGTGTGTGTGTGTGTGTGTGTGTGTGTGTGGCCAGCTCAGCCCACCAGGGGGCGGGGCTGGCTGGCATGTGGTGATGGGGGATTGAACTGCGGTCCCTTGCTTTGCTGAGCTTATTCTAAGTAGGTGCTTTAGACCACTGAGCCATCTCACCAGCACCTGTTTACCCACTTTTATCTCTTTTGTGTTTACAGTATCTTAACAAGGATGGGGAAGGATCGAGGCAGTCCAGGTATCACCTGTCTCTAAGATAGATTAGAGGGCCAGGGAGATGGCTCAGTGGAATAAGCACTTACCTGGCAAGTGCAAGGGCTTGAGTTCAATCCCTGGTTCCGGGGGGGAAAAAAAAATAGGTTAGAGACTGAACTGGAGCCATTTTGATAAGGATAAAATTAACACATTGAGAGCCTCCAACAAGCCTTTACAGTCAGGTGTGGTAGTTCATGCCTGTAATCCCAGCACTCAGGAGGCTGAGGCAGGAGGGTTGCCCAGAGTTCGAGCACAGCCTGAACTATAGCAAAACTCTTATCTTAAAAAAAAAAAAAGTTGATATATGTTCTTATGATACTTATCTGTCTTTGGTGGGCCTTGGAAGATCCTGTGCAAGTAAGCCCCTTACTTCCTGACTAGGAAATGCAGCTTTGTGACTTGTGTTTTCTGTACTGCCCAGCCTTATATGACTTGGCTGTCCTTAAAAAAAAAGCAAAGGAAAAAGAGGAGAGGAAGAAGAAGAAAATAAAATTGATCAAGTCTGAGGCGGAGGATTTGGCTGAGCCTCTGAGCAGTACTGAAGGGGTTCCACCTCTCCCACAGGCCCCGTCTCCACTGGCAATACCTTCTATAAAGGAGGAGTAAGTGAACGGCAGAGGTCATGGGAGGGTGGGTGTGCTCAGGGCCGTCCATGCCTTGGGGCTGTGTGAGCTGGCTATGAACGTGCTGAACCTGCCAGTGCTGCCAGGGACCAGCTGGGAAAACGTGCGCTCCTTGTGACTGCCAGCGCCTCCGGGCAGCTGAACTAACTTAGTGTGTTCACGGCCTGTTTAGTTGTTCTTCTGTTTCCTTCCCTCCGCAGGCCCCTAGAAGACCTCAAGCCTTGCCTTGGAATCAATGAGATATCTTCTAGTTTTTTTTCTCTTCTGTTAGAGATTTTGCTGCTGGAGAATCAGGCTAGCCTTCCTGTGGTAAGAGCTTTGAAAAAGTCCTGTGTACTTTGAAGATTTGCAGTTGTCAAAAGTTGTGATGGCCTGTAGCTTTAGAAGCAGCTCTGTAGAGTCCCGGCTTCACAGCTGACTTGTTTTGGGATGGGAGCAAACCACACAATGTCCCCAGCTTGCTCACACATCCCTGGCGTGCTGATGCAGGGGAGCATTGACTGGGTTCTGCCTTTCCTTCCCTTCCCGCAGCTGGAGGAGCGCGTTCTGGACTGGCAGTCATCTCCAGCCAGTTCCCTCAACAGCTGGTTTTCTGCAGCCCCCAACTGGGCTGAGTTGGTGTTACCTGCCCTGCAGTATCTTGCTGGAGAAAGCCGAGGTAAGGAGATGCTGGTTTTTTTGAAGGTTGCTGTGTTTTTCCTCTTTTGCCAAATTCTTAAGAGTGAATTCTTGCTGCCCTCATTGGTCCATTGTCCCTTTGTGCTCTGCCCTTGATGTCTCCACCCCTGATACACCAAGAAATACTGAGAAGCTTGCAGAGCTGTGGGTTGCTCTGAGCTCAGCGCTCTCTAGCCCGTGTGGCTTGTGCATAAAATCTCTTTTTTTTGCAGCTGTTCCGTCCAGCTTCTCTCCATTCGTTGAATTCAAAGAGAAAACCCAGCAGTGGAAATTGCTTGGTACGTAATTCACATCACTGCCTATTCCTTCCCTAAGCTGCTTTTGATTTCTACTTAGCACCATCCAGCACATTGGCAAGTAAGGAAATACTAGACTTTTGTCCCTGTGAAGGAATTCGTCAAGACATTCTGGTGCAGTCTTCATCCCGTGCCTTCCTCACCCAGCTCCCTGAGCCACAGTGGAGTTGCCTTGCTGCCGCGCTGTGGCCTGCAGGGCTACTTTATAATAGCGTCAGAATTTGTATGAATCATACCAGTGTTTT